ACAGACTATTATTTTATACACACCCAACGTATTGCATCATTAGAAAGTGTTGCAGTACCACCTTCCTTTTGTATAGTTTGATCCATTTGCTTTATTAGCATACCTCTTTCTTCTAATGTTATTCTCTTAAAAGGCCTCCAAGATGATATATTATGTATACCAAGTAATTCGTTCTAAAATGTAATTCATAATTATTGTATCATTATTTTTAAGGGATTATTAGAAATAAGTAAAATCTGTAATTATTTAATGAATAATATATTTTTCTTTCAATATTCATTTATTACAAATGTGGAACAGATGTTCTAGAATAACTAAGTAGCATACAAAATTAACTTAAATTATAATAAATTTAACATACTATATGTTTCCTTTTAAGATTATCTAATGAAAATGGTTGATCAGCAAATAATTCAGAGCAAGCAATAATATCTTTCACATGTGGATGTGTACCACTTCCAAGACATGCAAGGACACCATTCCACTTTAGTTGTAGTGTTTGGTTTTCAATATTGTGAAGTTCTGCTTGCATACATCTGAATAATGGTTTGTTATGTTGTAATCGTTTCTTATGCTCTAACAACATAAAATCAAGTCTCTGTTGTAATGTCCAATAATGAGAAGTTAAAAGTTGTCTTGGGAAATAATATGCCAAAGGAAAGATGATATAATTTGTAAAAGGAATAGCAGATATTAATAACACAGGGCATATCTTTACTAAATCTTTGCGTATTGTAAAGGACAACCGTTGTTCCTCAGTAGTTAACATATCATAGCCATCAATGTTTTGTTTCTTTAATATCAAAATAAATTTTTTCACATCTATAATAAAATCTTTGGTACCAATACTAAATACACGATAAACATGCATTGTTTTTGGAAAATTCTTTGCCAATACTTGCTCATAATTTTTAATGTAATCTATGTATTTATCAAACCAATACTTTTTAATATCAGATTTATGTTTTTCTACTTTTTTCCCCCATTTTCCTTGACATGGTATACAAGTATGTATAAAAGGTAAAGTCTTCTGATGTTGGAAAATTAATCTTCGATGTATTAATCTGTACATTGTTATGGTTTTATTTATATCATACACAAAATACCAAAAGGACATTACATTTATAAAAGTTTTAAATTGCAAGTGAAGTATCCCTTTATATCTTAAATAATTATTAATATGTTACATATAAATGTTAGCATGTGACATATTTTAATCATATATAAAAATTTTCTTGTATTCAATATACTACTTTTTTCGAGCACATCAAGTATATCATACTTGAATTCACCATTAGATAAAATATATTTAAGTGTAACCCGCAAATATAAAATTAAAAAAATTTGTATTGATAGCAATTTTTAAGAATTAATGGAATAGATTTCGTTTGATCATTATTTCTATTGTATTATAATGCACAAAATCTTTAAACACTAGTTAGTCTTGCAAAACTTCTTATGTATACATATAACTTCCTAATTGTATCAATTTTTTAATACAATTTTTTTCTTTGGGACATCCTACAACAACAATTGTATACAGGATAGCAGACGCGTGCACCTCATAGATTTCTCACACGTACACATTTGTCCCAGCTTCATCTGATATATGGCGGAAAATTTAAAAATGATGTGTACTCTACGGAAAGAAATACTTCAATAAGCGATAAATAACAAAATATTATATATAAACATATTCAAATATTGTGGACTTCATTTTATTTAATTTTTACATAAATGTAATTCTATAATTATCAAAATATATTAATAAAAATAAGCTATAATAAAGTTAAGCTTTAACAATGTTTAGAAAATGATTAAGTAAAATTACTCAATTGTAAAAATGAGGTATAATATGTATGATAAAAATGTGTAAAATTGATATAAAAAGTATTTATATTTTAGTAACAACAATAAGTTAAAAACTAGAGTTAATAACCACTAAGTAATTATTATCCAATGTGTTACTTTCTTAATTACATGTATGAGTGAGTCTCACTTACCATAAGCAACACAAAACTGTAAAATCATGTATTTATAAACAATTTAATAGAATAGAAAATTAATCACTTAATAATTTTTACTTCATTTAATGTGGAAGAGAATAGTCTACAAAAACTATATACATTTAAATGTCTTATATTTTGAAAATCATACATTTCAGATTCAAGAAGTTCAACAAAATATTTATAATGATATTGTTAATTACTAGACTGATTAAAATAAATAAGTATTTAAAAAATATGTGAATTCTTTTAGTCATAGAAGAAACTTAATTGCATAATGCTAATCATATTTTAACAAATATGAACGAAAAATATCGTAAGCAAAATTTTTATGACTTATTACTATTATGCCAAACGTTTGTAAAATAAAATTTGTTTTTATTACACTCAATAACTACCTAAGTGACTTGTACTATTGATATTATGCATTCTATTGCAAATAGTTTAAAAATTAAGTCTTAAGTCAGTGTCATAGTGACAAAGCATAAGGTCAAATAATTGGATATTAGTATTATTTGTACAATTTTATTAAATTTAAAAAATTTTTATTTGAAAATAAAATGTTCTTTATAATCATCCTTAGGTAATTATTCATTATCTAATACATTTAACTTAATTATATGTATATTACTATTTGATACAGTTAAGTGAAAAGAAATCTAATAGCATTAGTTTGATTTTATAGCAACTTAGCTGGTAAAATAATCCCTTGTTTTTTTTTTTAGTTTTTACTATTTATAATTAGTAGAATATATATTTAAATAGTTAATCACTATTGTGTATATTACAAAAAGGTTAACAAATTAATAATAATATTATACAAAACAAAATATACAAATAAGTTTATTTTTTTAACAAAAATTTATAACAAGAGGTAAATTAGTATTTCTAGTTTATTTTTAGTTTAAAAACACGAAGAGTTCTGCTAATACCTTTTCACAATATACACATAAGATTGTTAATAAAGTTTCAACTTACTATTAAATAACAAAATTGAAGGCACATGTAGCATTGTATTATAGGAATGTAATACTAATCTTGTAAATATACAGAGAAATTATAATTTTAATTTATAATATGTACAAAACTACAACTGATTATCTTGCAAAATGTAAATTTTACCACAGTAAATAAAAATTAATTGTCGCTTTCAATGCAAATTACAAATATTTTATATACATATGTAAAACAACTTAAAGTTTA